TTTGTACAGGCATTAGTTTAATAAACCAGTTTGCTATGAACGTAATTTACAAATGCTTCAGTATTTAACAAATAATAATTAGATTAGAACACAATTAAAATCATTTCAGCTTATATTGCAGGGTTGTTTTAATGATGTAAGCTAATAAAACTTTGTAGGATATTATAAATGTCTCTAGTAAGTTATCTATTTCACTGATCTCATAAACAAGGGAAAGCTGTGTTTCTGCTTAATTATTTTATTTAAACAGAGTCTTGATTTTGATAATTTTCATTTGATGGTCGCTATTGTCATGTGCTGATGTTGGAAAATTACCCATTAACTTCTAATGATAAATGCCAGTCATTGGGTTCCGAGTCATTAATTGAATGATGTTGTACATGTACATTATGAGGTTTAAGAGTCCTGTATTGTATTATGAGTTTGAAGCTTAAAATTTAAGGAAAGTTGTCACACAGTATACATCGGTACCTAATACTTCTCCAGCTCATATCGATTGCCCATGAATACAACCCTCTGTTAATAAATTAAATGTCTTACTATGAAACTGAACAAAGAATATTATGTAGTTCATTTTGAAGATACTGAAAATTACTCTTTACTTAACAAATTTAAATCTAGAAAACAGAGCAGGAATTCGCTGTATTGGTATAAATATTTCATTTCTCAAATAATTGATAGTGACTTTATAGAATTCAAAAGGCGAATACAGTAGTGACTGTTGTTAATTTAACTTTATTGAATTCTTTGTTGGTGTGTGTATAAGTATACAAGTTATTACCTGAAACTCAAAGAGCTCAGCTATTCCACCTAACTGAAAACTCGAGATAATTTGCTTAATAAATTATTTAATAGTTAGATCATTGATTGATATGGATTTAAGTTGAATACAAAATATCATTAAACCTGAACATAATCTATTCTATATCTAGTTACTTAATTTCTGGGTGTATTATTAATTTAATCTGATTATATAATTTTTTAAACTGATCTGATATGGATTTTTATAGTTACTAAAGTGTTGATCAGAACTACCAACCATTCAATCTGATTGACAGATATTTATTAATTAGTTGGGGTATGAGTTCATGCTAAAAACGAAATGCACCACATACGTATAAAACCTGCTAGCTTAAGATCATTCTAATTGACGTTTTGTTATTTACGATGTTCACTTACAACATCTTTTGACCTAAAGAAACAATTTAAAATAGTTCACGTATTGTTAGTTTACGTAAACCAGTGACTGTACTGACAGGATTGATAGAATCAGATCAAGACTAAGTAATCAACAAGCGTCACATCGATTTCTACTCAATGATCACCTAATGCAAAATTTATCAGGTCAGTTGTCCTTCAAATGGCTCACTAGTAGCATCTCAGATTATGAAGTTGTAAAATCCTAGACATAAGGCGCATAGTTCGCTGATAAGGCTTTCTGAAGAGTGTCAACTAAATTACTTACTTCAGGGCTTCCTGCCAGTCGCTTTTAAATATCCAACATAATTGAACACAATGTATGTTCGATTCACTTAAAAAAACATTGTCACTAAGAACAACTGTATCTGGCACGTTTTTCATATTCTGGTATTTAAAAATGTAAACTGAAACCAGCAATTATAAATAAAGATGTAACTGGATGACAGAATTGATGGGGTGAATTTATTAATACTAATACATTCTGAATGAAATTTTTTTGGCTTCTTACGGGTCGCTACATATATATATATATATATATATATATATATATATATATATATATATATATATGCTAATGAGCACATCTGTTTTATTGGCAAATTATAAGTTGAGAAAGAATGGATCACAAACAAACTTTTCAGTGGTACTCAGCTGCTACTCAACACAGGATAGAACCCCTGATTTTCAGATCTAAATGCAAGTACAACACCAAATCACTGAGCTTGTATCCCATGTTCATGAATTTTGAACTTCAATTAGAAAGCAGTGTTCAGTGGGATCATTGATAAGTTTATATCTCACTCTCTAATTCATTGACTTAATAAGCTACGATTAATCTATCTTGGATTTCTGAAATATTTGAAACGGGGTCAAAAATGCCAAGCAGTAAAAATTTCGAAGATATCGGTAAGAAATCTTGATCTAATGCATGTCTTCTTTTACCTTTTTTGAGACTATAAGTGACCCTTATCTGTAGCAAATTCCTATGATTTAGAAACCTTAAAACACGGTCACTTTCATTTACTTTTCTTGTATATTTCTCTGTTGAATTTTCGTTTGTCAAACCAAAGAATAAGCATTACATAAACATACAATTTCTCAATGATAATTAAGAGAAGTAGAGATCTCATTTAAATGATCAAACTCTAATCAAAACATCAAATTATTTTGTGGTTATTTTCCTTTTTCTTTTCTAGACGAAATGAATTCAAGCACAGTCTTTCACATTCACTTGTGTGCTATACTACTTATAAACTACTGAATTCTTCTAATCACTTTCAATAATGACAATTATATTACAACACTAATTACGTACATCTATTAATTGTAAATAATCTTACGTACCAGAGTTTCATAGTAGAGGATTGTTTGTCATTGAAGGAATTGTCAAATTCACTACGTATACTACTAATTAAAAATCCAGAATATTTCAACTTAAACATCCTGTTTCATATAGATTAAATGATTTCAAAAAAAAATTATCATACAATATAACATTCTTTAATTTTTGTTACTCTTCACAATAACTAAATCATAAAATCATTTCAAGCAATACTTTTATAAGCAAATGATTTAGCTAGTTGTCATGTGCTTTATTTCTAACAAACCCTAATAATTAAGGTAGTTATGTGCTCATAAGTGCACAATATTCTATTAAAAATAACAAAAATTGATTTGAGTCAGGTGATTGAACTGTAAGGCTAAATTAATTTCATTCACTAAACGTTAAATATTACGTGAATTAATAATTTGGGTACTGAGAGAAGATGATTAGCAGATAAGTTTCATAAATATTCATAGATTTATTGATTAGTTGCTTTAAAAAAAAGAGAGAAAAAAAAGATATTTGATTGTTAATGATATTACTAAAATACTGAATAAATCTAGAAAAGTCACTTTATAAATATAAGATTCTTATTAGAACAGATAAGGAATGATCTTACACTAATTTCTGTGAACTTTATAATAAACATTAGTCATATTTTATATTGTTACAAATGAATAGCAATATTTATTTATTTTATCAATTAACTATTTTAGTTAATTAGTTCACATGGTAACTAATTCAGTTTTGAAGTTATCATTTTGATACTGTGGTAGATATATCGATTCATAGTTACGTAGTTTCTAGTGATATGGGGTACAATATGACAAAATTTAAGTCTCACTTTCCTGTACTCGATATCATCCGAACTTTGTAATATTATGGCAGAATTTAGTATTAGTCAAGAATTTGGGTAGTCAAGCTAATTAGAAATGCGACCATATGTTTGTTGATGTCTTCAACACTCTACACGTGTTCACTTATGTAAATCATGATAAATTACGATATATGGTTAGTTATTTGCAAACTGATTCTACCAATTAACAATGGTTCCTCGAGCCAACATTCATACTAAATTAATAGTAATCAATAAATATTCACTAAATGATGGCGTAAATCAGAAATAACCGAAAAAAAATTTTATTTTGAAAATGATTAAAATGTATGGATAAACTGATAAGGACATAATTCAGTAACAAAGTTACTATGTTTTATCCTAACAGATAATATATAGCGGTTTCCAATTCCTATGTCTCCCCATCGGTTACCTTATACCCCGTTTAACTGGCAATTAAAGGTCGTAAAATGAACAACTTGTGTACAAGCAGGCGTAACCTACTTCTAATTAATTTTAGATATATCATTGCCATACTAGTTGTTAATATTGCATGACGGTCCTTGAAATTTCACCGTTTTACATTTGAACATTCTTTCAGATACGTTAGTCGAACTAGACTTAATAAAACAACTTCTTTAACTCTAACGAGATCCTCTCCTAAGGATATATATGACTGATTCATCCAAAAGATATTCAAATACATAAGTCTTAATTACTTTGTTAACAAATTTACTCGTTTTGTTTTCTTATGAAGTGATTCATATTAACAGGTGAACATATGCGTTAAGCTGAAAATGTTAAAAATAAGTAAATTACCTTTATGCTAAAAAACGTTTAATGACTTAATTAGTATAACATGTTACATCCGTGTTATGCAACAAAATACTGCAAAATACATAATCGGTGTTTTTCGTTTCCAGAATTTAAGTTTTAGGCTCGGTCATATATGGGAATGATTTCATTTTAATCGTTTTGTGTGTAAGCAAGTTGCACATTAAACTTGATATTATGATGTCATGTGTTCCGAGATTTGTTTTGTTGTAATATTGACTAGTCAGTTGAATGTTCTACTCTGCTCAATGACTATGCAAACTGAGATCATACAAGCTTACATCTACGAAACTAAGAACATATCAATCTTATTCCCTTGAAAATACTCACTATGTGAGTAAATGTAAATCTATCGTTTCGATGTTTTTATTGCTTAAAATATTTCCGAATATTTTCTGAAGTCAAGCTTCTTAGAAGCCATTTCATCCTCGGCATTATCCCAGCCCTCAATCAAACGGTTTATGCTGACAAAAACAGTTATTTTTTTACAATATGTTCTACTTATTAATTCCTTTTAGCATTTCATGAATTTCTTAATCATTACTGGCTACATATTGATCTTCTCTAGTAATTTTCAATATTATGTTGGTTCATTCAAGATACAACAATGTTAAATTGAACAGAAAATGACCTATTTCAAAAGTGATTTTGATCGAAATACTCTGGCATATCAACAGTTGTAATTTACAGTGTGATGTTCAAACATGTTTGATGTATATAATTACTTGTGGGCATGGACACATTCATACTGTTTGGCGTGTCTAATTATAATTGTTAACCATTCTGTTCATTTTTATTTATTTATAGAAAAGATAATTAACTTACAAAAGTGAAAAAAGCACCACTAAGATAAAATGCTTGAAGAACTAAATATTGGTGATTTAAATGATGTGCACAATGATAATAAAACAGGAAAATGGACTTCATCTAATGATCGGAGTAGATTATCACGTTATCGTGAAAGTTATTGTTCTGATGTGGATTTATTGCCCTCACTGTGCACAAAAGTAACAGTTGATATTCATCAAGATAATATTAATAATAGTGATTTTATTCACTTAGCTCGGAAAAATTATGAACCATTAAGAAATAGTGATGGAGCTAACGTTAAGGTAGTTAACAATAATAGCGGCAGTGACGATAAGAGTGATGATGATTATAATGATGAAGAGAATCTTATGAGCTGGTTACTGAAACAGTTTAGGGAGAATGGTTTAGATTACAATGACAATAACTTAAAAAATGATGACTTAGAGAAAATCGATGCATTTAATTATGTGAAGCGATTAAATCACAAAACATCAACTATCCCACATAATCTACCAATAGATGATTCTAATTCATCTATTTCAAGTTACCAAGCTACAATTGATTCAAAGAAATCAAAAACACAAAATGAGCACTTATTGAGTAATAATAATAATAATTTTAGTAAAGAACAATTTGGTCATAAACAATATCATCATTTTCCTCGCATGTATCCACCTGTCAGAGATTCATCAGTCGAGTCTAGAAAGTTGTGCCAAAGGAATAAATCAAACAATTCAATAATAACAACAGCAACAACAACAGCAACCACAACAACTAACCCACCTATAGAATCAGTGAATTCAACTATGCTAAAAGCAATAAACAATACAAAACATCAATGTCAACTTATCAATGGTTTATTTCATCAAATAACTAAAAAGTTGGTAAGCAGTTTTATGAGAGCGTTGACATTTTATTAGCCTTTTCTTTATATAGAAAATTAAACTTGACATTAGGAATTATTAAATTATTTTTCTTATAGATTGAGAGGGAGTTTTGTGAAGACCAATTCAGACTGAAGTTAACTTTTATCAAGAATTCATATTAAGTGATCGACCATTGACAATTAAGAAGTGGTTTTCGGTTGTTAAATTCGCATACACTACGCTAATAGAAATCGAGTTTAGAATATTCTAGTCTCACCGCTTTTTTAAACACTATTGAATCACAATCCAGTTATTTGTATTGGGAACTTCATTTAATTCCCAATATTGTGTGACATAATTCAATTCCATTGGTGTTATTTAAAAAGTGATCACTTTATCTATAAGTAACACTAACTTATACTGAAGTTCACTTCTTAAGATGAACATCGTTACCATTTTTAATGGACAAATTAGACGTAAGGAATGGATTGATTACTAGAACGTGATGTGTCTTTAGTTGTTATAGGTTCTAATTTCTCTGGCGATTCATGTTTTGTCTCGGATTCCGGTAATGAAAATTAAGAAATTTGGAATAAATACCATTTCTCGATTGTAGATTTAGGATGTTATGCAAAATGGGATAATTTTTAGTTCGTCTTTATGTTCTTCTTTGGTTGGGAATTTCGCATTATTTCCCATTACACCACTGACGACAAGCTTAATGTAACTCATTTACTGAGGGTTGATGTACAGCATTCTAAGTAATAACGTTTTATGAAAGCTTATGGAACTAACTAAACGCCCAGATCGAAAGTGCCAGATTAATCTCGATCCTATGACCCATTGGTTGAAAGGGGTAGTGCTCTGACCACACTGTACTGAGACCAGGCCTTATAATTCCAGATGTCTGTCAATCCACCTAAATATCTAATGGGGGTGAATAGAGGTAAGGGAGTAAAATAAATGTTCGTGTATCTTAATGATGCATATTTATCCACTACATAAGTTGTAACTTCCTGATGTCTTTGAATCTATTATATGCTTGAAACTTCATCATTTCTTTAATTTTGATATGACAATAATAACTTATTAGAACTCTATTTATTCAAATAAATAAAAATATTTTCTGTTTAATTAATAATAAATTTACTATCATGAACAAATTATAGTTCATCCTAGTTATACACATTGGTGTTTGTCTGTTAGATTCATTATTAAGACGCATTATGGTTAAATAATTTCTTAAATAGTATCATCATATGAAGTTATTTCGATTAGTGTTCTCGCTTCTTGTGAATTACGAATCCATTTCTTCCTGTTTTAAATTTTATCCTGAAAAATGTGAATGATGATGTTTACACTTTCACCCTATCGTAGATAAATATTAAGTGATGTACACTGATGTTTAACAGACTCATTTTTGTGACATCACTAGGCTAAGAAAATAAGGAGTTAGTCTTCATCGAATGAAGATATCATTCATTAGATGGACTAAACGTTTAAGTCTTTGTTGAGAAAAAGAAGACAGTAGGGTTACAAAATATGACCAGAAATTGAATCTACGATATTTAGTTTGTAAGATGAGCGTCTTGCCTTTAGACCAATAAAAAGTAACTTGGAGATGGATTTCCTAACTTTTGGTGAAATTTTGTGGTCAGTGAAGATAAACCATGATGGATGTGAGATATCGGTTAGACTGATGGAATTTGATAATTATTTTTCACTTAAATAAAGTTTAAAATCTACACCTCTAGATTTCTTTTCGGCCAATTGAAGGATCATGATTTAATTCTTAGCGGAGTTGTTACTACGTACTACGGAGGATTCACTGACTTGGACAAAGCAAGTGTGTTTAGATTTCTAGGTTACTCAATCAAGACAGAGTTTGCGTTCAAAGTCATCTATAAGGTAAGTAGAAGTCTCCCAAGAACAATTAGACTGCATCATTTTTGCATTGTCGAGGCATTAGCCATACATCTGGGAAGACCAGAATTATGTGTGCAAAAGCGACTGGTACAACCTGTTCTTCTACCATGGTCCTGATGTCTTATATTTTTTTCATTTTCAGTTTTTTATTCTCATTTTTATTTTATTTTTTCCCTTCTTTTTCTCTTTCTTTATACCCTTCTCCCTTTAAAAGTATATTCATTTACTAATTTGAAAAATAACGTTAATAAAAATTAGTATGTAGAAGGTTGATAAACAAAAGTGGAATTTTTCGCAAACGGTTTAGTAAATTCAATGGAAAAAAAACAACCGATAAATACGCAAATGTTTTTTTTTGTTTTCTAATAAATAACCCATTTTATGTGATGAATCATTGAAAATGGTTTTGTATTTTTTTTGGCAAGTCCACCTTTTTCCTAAATATGTTTGTCACTGCCTAATGTAATCTAATTGCTTCTCGTTACCGGTGTATGTTGACAAATAGCAAGTATGGTGGCAATAGGGAAACGTGAATCTGTTTGTGACTATTTGATTAAGTATGATATTTGGTATAGTTGTAATAATAACATTAATAATGATTCATAAAAGCTACATTGTTTTTTTTAGATTTCTGCTTACTTACATTACAGAATCATCATAAAGACTCTGAGGAAATATTTCAGTAATATTTTCGAATCAGTTTATTTCAGAGTTCTGACACTGTGAATGTTTTGTTCTTCCCTATCCAATTTATGTTTACATCGTTTTAAAAAAATGTAGGTTAGTACTTATATCAACGAACATAGTTTTAGTTGTCAGACTGATTATTTTAATTTCAGATTTGTTCACAATAATGAAGGATAATAAGCTCAAAATAAACTCCTAAGTAGATTGTACCACAACAATGTCTTGGATTGAAACTGTTCATATTGTTGAACAAATTTGTGTATATAATAAAATTAACCCCTTTTTCGAGGCAATAGTTTGGAAAATGTACAAAGTGGAATAATATCTGAATGAGTCTTTATGAGTACCGTTTTAGTATCTTACTTATCTTATTTTGTACATACGTCTAGAAGTGAAATCAATTACCAGAGGTCTAGTTAGTTAGTTGTTACAACTATGGATCGTAGGGAAGCTCCAGGTTAGTTAGAAGAAAGACTGAGAAGTTTTAAATTCTTAATAATTTGCAATCCAACTTATTTCTGCGGTTCATAAATGGTTTTAAAGAAAACAGCTTAATAGCTTTTTGTCTCTTGCAACTCCTAAGATCATAATGATAGATTTGTCAAGACAGTTTGCCTCACTCACTAACTTTGACCATTGAGAGAACAAGGAAGTACTGAAAGTTGTTGCGCCCTTAACATCGGTGCCGAACCATAATCTCTCTAGATATATGATCCTCAAGCCGTTAAAAGTAGACTATTGAGCCGATATTGTCATATGATGACATTGATGAACCATTACCGTTTCATCAGTGATATCGTTCTCTATTTATTCTTGGCCTTTGCTAGTCAAATCTCATTAAAACTAAGAGGAATTTTATCATAGCTTTTAGAAACTTGAACAGAATATTACCCCTCATCCTTTATATTTATATGCTTTTGTATGTTAAACTTAGTAGTATTGAACAATGTCCTAAATCGAATTAAATGTACTGGAACTAAAACTTCGAGTCCGACAATTTTAATTTAAGTTTTTCGATAAATATGAATTCACCAATCCATTTACTTATCCTTCTTTCTAAATGTGACATTGAAATCAAATTAAAAACTTTTAAAAAAAAACAAATATGAACTAGTTTACAGTTACTGATAATAAGAAGCAGATGAGATTTGGATTTCATTGAATTTTATCAACTAGATTCTTGTGATTTAAGGTGAGAGAAAGTGCAAAAACAGATTTATTCAAAATGAAACCGACATAGAATAATAAAAATGAAGTTTTCTTATTTAAACTTTTACTGTTGAATAAATCAGACGAATGATACTTCTTGTAAATGACTTTTTCTTATGATGAAGCAATAGTATAGAATGGAAATATTAGTAAACAAAACAGACTTTTTGGGCAAAATTACTTTAACTTATTTTTAATCCATGTTATCCAATTCTCAGTTTATAATGTTTTGTTCAGGGTAAAAGAAAAAGTCAAACTGGTGTATCATAAATCTTTGAATATTCATTAGACTAGCTAGTAATAAAAAAAAAGAAACAGAAATTATCAAACCATACAAACAACAATGTCAATAAGCGTGACAATATACTTAAAAGATAAAAACACAAAACATAATCTCTATCTTCACTGAAGAAAACTGCTAATTGTTCAATGTTTCTTTGCTTGATGTTGTTTAACACAATCCTCTATATGGTACCAACATATAAACAGATAAAAAGTGATAGTGATCATGATGAAACGATTAGATTTGTTTTTGAATTATTCTAAGGAAATCTGCACTTAAATATAAGAGTTTAATTCATTTATTTTTTATTTCTATAACCTGCCGCTCTGATGTATATACATATATGTATTGCAGGAAGGGGCACACATTTAAACTCAGTTACCATATACGAGTGCTTGTACTAGACTCCATGTTGCAGTCAATTCATAGTAGCTATCGATAGTCTTAAGATGTTTTGTAGATGGAAAATTCACATTGCAATGGGTTGAAATCAGTTTTTTCTAATTACCTAAAAATCACTAGTTATATTTCATTACTGATTAATCATTTCATCTACTGTTTATATTATAAATTCTGTAAATATAAGGGAAGTGTTCATTGAAAACTAATGCTTACCATAAATGCTGTTATTAAAAAGGAAATCAACTTTAAAAACTGTTTCCTGAATGACTAATGTATGATAAATCAGGTGAGTTGGAAGTAATTAATGATCCAAATAAGGCAGTTTAGTTCATCCAGTTTAGAAATCGTAATAATTCATAGGAATTGTATCTAACACATCAAATGTTAAAAGAACTGACTCAACCTATAACTCTCTTGAATAACTAATGGTTCTCATCACAAACTGATATTATATAGAGAACCAGGAGCATACGGTTTATACAGTTTAAAACTCTTATTATTTCCTATTCATTATCAAAAGATGAACAGATTCCAGGATGATTTTAAACAGATGTAATGAAGTTTAACTGTCTAATATTTCTGGTCTAGTCTTTTTTGGATTATGAACAATCCCCTATGAGTTACTATTTGATTTGATTAACTATCTCAGTAATGGTTTTCTGTAACTAAACTTAATTCGTTCCAGATCAGTTGTTAATGTACATATCATTATTATTTTTATCCAATGAAATACTGAATTCCAGTTCATTAGTTTGTAAGTATCATTCCTGTCACCAAACTTTTAGATCCTGCTCCCAAACTAGTGTGAACTTGTATTTCTATAATACTACAGAGTCTCATTCCAGCTGTTCAGTGCCGTCTGGTTTTCCTAACAAATGTCAATTAACAACTTTAAATATCATATCGAAGTTTATAAAACTTTACATAAAACACGTCAATAGATTACTACGTGTTCATCTTCTAAGTCCATTTATTTCATTCCTTTAAATATATACTTGATTTTTTTCAATAATTCATCGTTTAATACTGGTATGCTTAAAGTATACATAAATATAATAGGCTTTTCATAATCTCTTAAGACGCTAATTTATTTTGATATGTTCCTCTTTAGTACGACTGTGATTAAGGTATCTGTGTTTCACTACTAATGGAATTCAACAAGAAACCTGAAATTTTACTATGTGAAACATGTGAGACATAGGTTCTTTCGAATAGAGGTGTAGATGCGGAATTAACAATCCTCCTAACTTACGCTTTTTTAAAGTACGTGTAATTTGATACGTATGTACTGAACATGATATATGACGGTTTCTATCTTTGCTTGAACTAATGTTTACGTGGAAAATATACTGTTAAGTACAAATCTATAGCTCAAAATGTAAAAAATTTATGATCATCAGAAAAATTGGAACCGAAGTATGAAACAGTAAAAGAATTTATTTGAGAATGTTTACAAATAAATCTAATAGTGAGCTCTGTACAATGACTGAAGTGAATAATTCTAAGAAGTATACTTTCATTTAAATAGCACTCTGGGGTGATCAGAAGCTATGTTCTTCATTTCTAACTAATACAGCAGTACCAACCGTTTAATAACACCTAGCAAAGATAGAAAAACTATAAATCACATGTTGTTTTTAATTTTATGTACCATTCTATATGTTGGTCAAATATGTTTATTTATCAAATGAATAATGTGACCTTTGATTTTTATCGAAGTACTGATAATGTAAATATTAATTTAACACCTAATAGCTAATAGAATATATTCTGAAGCGAATCCACCCTTGAACTATAGGCATTCAAAAGTTAGTAAGTGAATACAAAACGTATGAATTAGTCACTGTTCACTAATTGGTAATCGATAAAGTGATAAAGTTAGTCGGTTATTTAGTCAGGAAAATTTATGATGAATAGCAGTTTTTTGGTCAGAAATTTACACATTGCAATATCTCGTGGTAATTTAAGAAACGTAATATTTACTTCCTTTAAATAGTGAAATATTTTTTAGGATGGTAGTTTTAGAAAGATTGTTTATCGTGAACGTAGTTTATAACACGGAGTAATTCTATAGTTATCTAACCATTGGGAAATAGCTATCTAGTGCTTTATAGTTTACAGTTCTTAGGTAGCTAAGATCATTCTTTGCTGTGAATACTGAACAGTCTTTACAAACGTTACATTCTAACAATGGCACAGCATTTACTAGTCAATAACTTTTAGATATATTCCTAGCTTTTTACTTAGTGATAGTGATCAATGGAGTCAAATAATTATTACTGATGATAATGAATAATCCCGAATGGACTGAAGTTTGATTTGTAATCCTTTGCAAGACAACTGAGTGGTGCAACATTAACTACCTTCAAGTCATGGTTTCAAACTATGTTTGAATTATTTGGTGAACACTTCTGAGGAGTCCTATGCTCACTAAAGTCGTTTAAACAATTGTCATGACATTAATTTACTTAAGTACGTATTTAATCAGTTTAAAAAAGGGAGAATAAGAAGTTTATTTTTTCAAATATTGGTAAACTGAAGTCATTAGTGACCATACAAAAAAATGAGCACGTTATTGTCTTGAATTGATGTAAAATTGATGACTAATATCTTTTCTTGAGAAGTACAAGATTTGCTTCAAGCTTCCACCTTGTCACTTCATGTTTGTCTAGAGATGTAATCACTTAAATATTACTAGTATGGGGATTGTGGAGATTATTGACTTTTTGATTGAGATCATGAACTTAATAATCTCCACAACCCCTATACTAGTAATTAACATGTGCTCACTAGTGACTAGCTTCGTGAGGGAATTCTCAGAGTTCTAGTGAGAAGCTGTGACCAGTGGAGCTAATTCATGTCGGATATAAACAGGTATCTACCTCAGTACAATGGAAGATGGTTGCGCAATTTTGTGGGTTGGTTGATGTTAGACACTATCACCACTGGATGCCGGCTCAGTGGTCCTGTAGGTTAAGCGTTCGCGTGCGAGACCAAAGGCCCTGAGTTCGAATCCCGCGAGGCGGGATCAAGGATGTGCACCGCTGAGGGGTCCCACGATAGGACGAAACAGCCGTCCCGTGTTTCCACGTTTTCAATGGTGGTCTAACATCCATCGGTTCATGATCTCAATCATTTAAATATTGTTGTGTATTATTCATTAATCTGTTTAATCACATTAGATCCACTATTACATTAAAGGTATCCTTCATTCTCTTTATATTAGATCTGAAGTTATATAACTTACAACATATAAGTAATTAGATATATTGTGTTTGTTTTCAATTCAATTTATAGATTTTCATAATTGTAAATTCTTTTTTTTTTGTTAAATTCAATTTTAGACTTGTTTACATGAATTCGACAAGCAAGTTATTAATGAACTTCAAAATGCTAGCCAAATCATAAGTGATTTACAAAAGACAATAAAATTTTCTGAATCTTCATTATTGAACTCATTACATTATCAATTAAATGAACATTTTTGTCAACCTAAAATATTTAAAACAGAATTTTATAAAACTACAAATAATTTTAAAAAGAAAACTGGAATAAAAGATTTTTCTAAAAAGAAAATTTATAATTTAGATGAAAATTTGAAAAGATCAATTATAGATGAACAACAATCATATCCAGTATATAGTTCAGAATTAGATTGTCGATCACCTATGGAAAAGGTTAGTTGATATGTATTTTGTAAATTAGTTATTTTATTAGATGTTACGACGTTATGGTAGGTTTTGTTGTTGTTGTTGTTGTTGTTGTAGATTATTAATTATAATGGTAATTTTAAACAGTGTTAGGTATGCAGAGGAATATGCCAATATTTATCGTGTTAAGTCGAATGGTGTCCTTGAACGTTAAATGGACATTTCCCATTGGTCGATGTTTGTTTCACTTGTTAAATATTGTGTAAATGTTGTTTTCTATTTTATGGTACGATGTGGTTTGTTTGGTTAGTATATAAATAGAGTATGTCTGAAATACAATGATTCATAACTCAGAGGCTGTGACTTGCGTTCTAGACTCAACTGGCTGGGCTAGACAGGGAAGCGGGACCAATCAGGGCACTAGGTTGTTCGTACGTGTTTTACGTGTCACTGTGATCGATAGATAAAACGCTGTTTATCAAAACCTGCAGTCATCCGTTACAACACACTGTAGTAAGCTAGGTGAATGTTTCATTTATAGATTATTGTTCTGTATGAAATTCTTCCAGAATATTTTTTTAGGTAATCTAAGAGAATTAGTGCCAACTTCGCAAAGTAACTATGTGTTATTTTAATGTTACATTAGTAGATATTACCAAAAGTAGAATACTTAACTTACCTGTTTATGATCGATTTTGTGTTGATCAATTAGTCATTTTCATTAAAACATTGAACAGTATATTTACTAAAATCAACAACCAATCATTAGAAGGTTTCCCGATTCTGGATTTTTAATGTTGGGACTTAAATGATCATTGGACACAACATTATTTATTTTAACTTTTATGGGCTTTCCATCATTTCCTGGTCTTTATTTTTTTATTTTTCAAATGGTTTTACCGATGTAAAATAAACGGAGTCATATCGTGTGAAAATGAAGAGATAAATATTTCATTGGTTAAGATCATGAGTCAATTGAAGCTAGACCACCATGGAAAACCTGAAAGCACTGGACGGCCGTTTCGTCCTATTGTGGGACTACTCAGCAGTGCGCATCCTTGATCCCACCACGCGAGATATCGAAACAGATGATTATGAAGAAAATCAAAACTCATTTTAATGTGTACTAGTAGCCACCCCTTCTCTAAAAGCAAATATAAAATTAGTTTTGGATATAAGATTTTGCTGGCAAAATATTTTATTGACGTATATGTGACAATCGCTTTATGTCTCATTACGTTTCTGATTTTTTTAAAAAAAACGACAAATCAAACCAGATATTTTCTTAAAATAATTCATCATATACTATAAAAAAACATGTGAGTTTATTCATAATGAAGTTTGATTAGTAATAGGGAATCGCTATACAACCACGTTCATTTACAATCCTCTAGTCGATTAATATAGTCCAATATCATAAAAGTCGTGAATTTAGAAATGTTTGTTTATACAGTTTAGAAGGATGATCCAAAATATATCATCTTTATCAACAGAAACTAGAGGTGGTACTCATAACTATGTCTCGTCCTATTTGGAACTCATCGCTTGAATGTACCCATATAACGGTATTTATATTTGCCGTTAACTTCAAACCCACTATCCATCGAGGATATATTTAACTGCTAATGATTGAGTGAAATTGTTACAATCGTGTAAATAAACATACTTCCAAGGGATTTGGTACGATAAAATATATTCACAGTTTCGAGCACCGCTTATGCAGGTGATGATGTCACATAGCAATATGTTTGACAATTTTATCTAAATGATTTACTTATCAATGTATAACGTGCTTTTACTGTCTTATCGCTTACGTACCCGATATAAATATAAATATACATCGAGAATGGTGAAAAATTTCTTTCACTTTTCCAAGATTTTTGTAAATTAATAAGAAAAATTATGCACAACACAGTAACAAAATAAAAGTAACTGATTTAGTTACAGTAAGTAAATAAAGTCTAGACAATAAAGCAACTTTCTTAGATGTAAAATTTGTAAGCATCGTGATTAATAATGGCGGCCTGTTTGAGTATCTGGGCTACTTGCTCCTTCCATCTAGATATTTCAACAAGTTATCTGTTCTTTTTTTGCTTTGTTTGCTTTAACACATCATAATGTCTAGTAATAGCATAACCTACTCAGCTGCGTTTGTCATAAATTTATGATATTTCGCTGTACAAGTTACAAAAAAGCCGAATCAGGGAAATCGTGGTTACTGACAATATGCAGCCAGAAAAATGTACATTATTATGCAGATGTCGATTCATGAACTGCTAACATCACACTAGGGATCATTCAATTTTTGTCGTCAGGATAGATGAAGAAATAAGGGAAGGAAACTCGTTGAAATACTTCGTGCTGAAAATTCTATATTGTACCAACAATATAATATTGAATAAAGCTAATAATAATATTACCAATAGTAGTAATCTTGTTTTTATTATGAAACTTGAGATTCTTAGTTAGTTTATTTCTGATAAAATAACCCAGAATTTATTGAGTTAATATTGTTTTTAATGAGATCTGAATTCTATTGATAAACGTATACCAAACGTACTAAGGATTGTTGTTTATTATGTATTCACTAATGAATTGAAAGTGAGACTTTACATGTGAATAGTAATTACCAGTATTGTTCCGTTGTTTCTGGTTAGATTTAAGAAAGATTAAAAGAATATATTAGTGTCATTATACTTGTACTGTAGACATTTCAGTACTTTAAATATATTATTTTAGAATCTGTTTATTAATGTTTCAGCTGGTTATATGTTAGTTAAATCCAGCAAACAGTAAAATAACCTAATATTTCGATACAAAAACGAAATCTTCATACTTTTAAGTTACCAAGGATTTATGTTCATATTTAAAACTTAAACATCGTTTCAATGAATTGGGATTTATTTCGATCACATATAATTCAAATGATTGTTAATGCTAATGGAACTTTTAGCACTACAACTCTTTAGTTTGTTGAATCTATTCAGCTATAAGGTATAATACGTTATTCTTAGGTTACAGTCATTAAAACCCTTGATGATCCTCTCACTGAATTCTTCCCAGCTATATTAATAAGTACTATAACATTGGTCATCTAAGCCTAGTATACAGCTCTACTTTAAACTTGAAATGTTCAAAGCACTTATTTAGTCGTTTATACTCTTTAATGTTTTTAAAAAAGAAGCAATTGATATTAGTGAATAAATGTTGGTGTACTTCTATTGTAATCTTTGTATACTATTATATTATTATATTAAGGTCAAGAGTATTGAATGATAAAAGTGCTAGAAAATGTACTTTGGTTAACGATTATTATGCTGAATGCTAATGGTAATTGTATTGATTGACTATGTTTTAGAAGAATAGTTGAAAGTCATCAACGACTACCATATAAATCAAGTATGTTAGAAACTTCATTAATATGATATACATTAACAAACTGATTTAACTTTAATTACCCCTTTCAACTTATCGCTATGATCTATTCATGAATAAAGTTTTTTTTGTAAATTTTATTATATTCATTTATTCAGTTAATTGATTTATTGAGTAGTTTCGGTAAACTTATGTATATTTATAATCTCAATAGTTAATTCTCTATACATTTTATTGTTTTGTATTTTCTTAAAAGTAGTTATTTAATTTGGCACTGTATAAATTATTCCTGTAAGGAATTACAAGTGATCTGTAAACATGATTTAGTACTTAATTCATTTGACTTTAATTAATACAATGAAGCCTGTTCATTTGATGTCAGTTTAAACAGTCAGACTATATAGAAAGACTGCAATTAAAAAGGATTGTTTTCTAGCTGTGTACAGTAAGCTACATTTAATTGCTAAGTTGTATTTACTGACCAGTAATAAGTACGTATGTTTCATGTTTCATATTTTCATATTGTATTAAATGTAAGAGATGGAATTTATTTAGGATATTCTGAGAGAAATAATAAATTTTTAAAAATGTTCTGTGTGTATTAGATATAACTCATTAATCATGTATCATTTCTTTGTACACGTGGTTTTAGGAGTAGCATGTTTGCTTGAACATCAATCATGCTGCTCGACTGATTAAATAGAAGGTGTAATGGAGTTTGAACCTAGTGTCTAATAATTGAAAGCTGACTGCTCTAATAACTAGAACTTTAGTTGGCTCATTGCACTGTGTTTATCATAAGTTTGTAGGGTTAATTTTAACTGTTCTCCTTTAGTTTTGCATCTTAAATAATAAGATTAATTGAATTCTCACATTTTCAATCAGGCTAGACAGTTGAATACTCGTGTAGGGGCTTAAATGATGAAAACTTCAATTTATAGTCAATAGTTCATCTCTTCCGAAAAAGGGGTGACTTGTTGGAATGTAATTTTAGGAATCATTCCTTGTGACTATATGTATATTAAATAACTACCAACATCAGTTAAAGCATCTGGTATGAACTTCTGAACTCATACTAATTTCACGAATACAGTAGGGTTGAATTATTCAAGCTATAAACAAATAGCTTATACTTAATTTCTATATAATATTTCGGTAAACAAAAAGAAATTATCGAGTATTCATTATAATGAGTCATTCATTCAGTGTGTATATTTATGTTTTGTTTCTTTTTTGATTGACATTCATGAAGGAATTATTTAAGCCAAAAGCAATAATAAAAACAACATGAAGAAGAAGAAAAAGAATGAAACAGCTGTTCGTCCATTTATTTATACTACATTATATTATTTGGTAATTTTATTGATTTCCATTCCATTTGTGAACTTACACCCCAACAATTAGTGTCATTCACTTGTTCAATTAGAAACAGAAATTTTTGAATATCCGAACTTTTGACTAAGCACACATACCTGAACACACTCATATCTATCCTTTTTTTGAAAAAAAAAATATACAAAGCCCCATTTAGTTCCATATATGATTTCATATAGTTTGAGTGATTGAAGAATTTGATAGGTTTTTGTTCTACATGCAATTAAAATGAATGATAACGCATTATTGAGGGGTCATAAATTGTATGAACATAGTGGGATTTATTGTTTTAACCATTTAAAATAATAAAAAATATCCCCAGTATATTATGATACGTAGTATGGTGATATATATATATATATATATATATATATCTTCTTTTCGCTTTTGTTATCTACTTAAAATAATAAATCTACACTTAATTTTTCAAAATATTTTTGTGTATTTACTAAAATATATATCATTCATTTACAAATTATGATTCATTCAATTCCTCTCTCTCTCTCTATCTCTCTGTCTCTCTCTCTCTCTCTTTCTCATTTTCTAGCTCTGTTCGACTTCACACGCAAATACATGTACACACATAGTCAAACATGTACTTTGCGTATTCACGTCTCTTTGCATTCTACTTCCAGTAGGTACATATATTACGCTGTTACACACAAAAACAATATACATTTAAGACCTTTTTTTTTACTATGTATTCTTTTTTTTCTACCTCATTTAGCATCCCACATATTTTTTCCTGTCTAACTATTTATCTATTTCGCGATTTGGTTAAAGAAAAATCGATTTTTTGAAAAAAAAAAAAACACCAAATATTCAATTTAGATTGGGAAAAAAAGGATCATTATGGGAAATGTTTTATCTATATCAGTAATCTAAATTTTAAATGAGAATTAAATAGTTAATTTTTTTATTGGACTTTAACATTTTAAAATTTTGCTTCTAGTTTTGAAAGTAGACTAAAATGGGAGGTATCCAAACTGCCTATGCATCTTAATTGATTGGGTTTAAGATTATGTACAGGATTACACCAATTAATTATATTCAAGGCTCATCTTTTATTCTATATCATTATGGTCATCAAAATGAATTAGTTTTCTTTTTTCATGAATTCTCAATGGATTAATACTTTTCCAGAAAAATGGATAGACTCTTTTGCTTTTTTTTGGGTTAAAAATTTACAAATCTTTAAGCTCATTATGTTATGTCATTGTTTCTTTGGTAGGTTTGTATCATTGCTTTTTCTGACACTGATAATCAGAAATCATCAATTCAAGTAATTTAAAGGTATTTTAATTTTGAAAGATGTCTGAGGTTAGGAATTTTGTTGTATAATTTACATCACAGGGTGATGTTAATTAGACAATAATTTATAACCTGGAAACATTGATCATCGATTTCGTCCTGCAATGAGATTCTTTAACAGTATCTACCGAAAATCCCACTAAGGATCAAACGTAAGACTTAAGGATCTCATGGCAGGCGATTAATCTCTGAGCTGGGATCCACGATTTTACAAATCCAACTTCAATTCGCAACACTGAATGATCAAATATGATTATTATTAATCAGTAACTGCATAGCACCTTACATGGTTGGATTCAACTGGTCACGGATTTTATCAAGAGCAGCTTTCGAATACCTTTCCTTTTCCATAACTTACCGAACTAAGATTGGTTTTTGCTACAAACTGTGAAACTCAACAGCCTCTACAAAAACCTTATAGTACATATTTGGTTTGCTATGGACGGCTAATAATTCAGATATAGATTAAAATGAGATACCTAGGAGAAATTTGTAGTCACATATGAAATAAAACCTTGTTTATAAAATGCACTTTTTAATATTGATCTGAATGGTTGGGGGACTTATGGAGCGACGAATGTCTGTCAATGATATTAGATTGCAGCTACAGTGGATCACTAATTTACCTGATTATTAAAAAGAAGAAATTTGTTCTTGCTCAAAAACTCATATATCTTCTGCTACACCTCCTACAGGAGGGGCTAACTGCTTTTCTTTGGTTTAATTGCCTATAATTGCTTATAAACTGTCATCGTTTCAATCTTATCTTAAGAAACTACGTTGGTCGATATTTTGAACAACTCGTGGGAGTTAACCAATATATATTGTACACGATTCCAAATATTAGGTCATATTTATCAGTCAAATGAACCGGAACCATAGATAAATACTGAATATCCCATGCATCTGTGCGAAGGAGAACAGACAAACCAGCATATATTATAATACTATTACCAAAATGTAAAAAAGTATTCTGACTGAAGTTTAGAAAAAATACTGTAGTCCGTTATTTCAACTTGGTGATCTTAAGGTATACCATTAACCTCTATACTGGGAAATCTTAGGGTCGATCCTGTGTTTAGTCACTGTGTACTACAGAGGAGTTCAGAAATGGAACAAAACAAGCAGTTATTGATGAACACAATATCGAATCGAGTTAAAAACTGAGTATCAAAATGTTCCCTATTTATATATTAACTGTAAAAAACAATGGAATACTCATTTTCAAATCGAATATAGTAGGCACTCACTAAGTGTTATTTATTGGCAGGTTTCTAATTCTGTAAGTGTTGGTTATATACAAACAAGTTCATCACATTTCTAATCCATTTTGTCTATCTTTGTTTTAGTAACGCCGCTTAGGATTAATTTATTTTACATCCAATTTATTGTTTATTACTATTCAATCTTTAGTCAGTAAATGTAAAAGTTGTAAATATTATTGGTTCATAAGTCATAATGAAGTAAAATGTAAATCTTACGTTCTTCTGAAAGTGGGGAGTTGAATAATTGCCAATTTGATGAACTCTTGTTTTAATGTTCAAGCAGTCATGTATAGTTTCTTTCTTTTCGAGTCAAGAATTGAAACAAAGATCTATTAGAAATAAACATGCATCGAAGTGGTGTCCTATCCTAGTTCAAACTTTTCAGTAATGTTCATCTACGATTCAATCAGATAACTGAAACCTAGAACATCCATACTGAAACTACATGCAGCGTTATTAATAAACATTTGAGATAGAATCTGTCATTTCACATTCTTAACCTTAATAAGTACATATTAAGTAATATAACAATCATTCAGTATCGTTAATGATACTTGTGTGACTCTACAAAGGTTATCGATTCTTAATAATTCTGTTTATTTTCTTATTAAAAAAACTGATTACGGATTTTAATAACAAATTATTCAGCTTCTCTCTTGTATTTATTTTAATATTTACTTAGAATCCAATTAAACAAGATGACTGGAAAAGTCCTATTACAGAGAAAAATGAACGTCATTCAACACAAAGAAAATTCACAGAATCACCATGGGGACCAGTATCAGTTCAACAAGCAAAAAAATTAACAAAAGATTTTGATCAATGCCCGAAAGTCATTGGTCAAAATAATAACAATCGTAAGAATAATCACCTTATAACAAATGATAATTATTCGAAATGGTTAAAATCTTCGAAATCTTCAATGAGTAATAATAATTTAGATAAATTGAATGAATCTATTTATCAAACTAATGATGTAACTGATAAAAAGTGTAATTTGTCAAATGAACGATATTTTAGCCAATTAACTTTACCAATCTATTCAACTTTTTCCAATACTAAATCAAATACAGTCTATTTGAATACATCTAAAGAATTTAATGTTGCAGAGAGTAATTCAAACAAATTCACTACAACCAAAGGTATTCAATCTTTGTTTAGATTACCATTTAAAAGAAAAGCAAGTACACCTGGACCGAATATTCAATTTGTAGAACACCCATTGAAATCTCATGGACGTTCGGCTAGTTTAGCTCAATTGAATACATCAAGTGAAAATCCATCCGTTATGTCTGTATCAAATGATCAATTGAATAAAAGTACTAATAAATTAAACGTACCATATATTAAACCTTTACTACTTAAAGAATTGTCGAAAATTTGAAATTGAGAAACCATTAAAAATGACCATATTTTTATTTAAAAAAAGATTTTAAAAATCTTAAAAATCCTTAAATAAAATCAATTGTGACTTTCTGCTTTATATTCTGCGTTCAATATAACGCTGCTAATAAATATTTTGTCCATAAGAACATAATAAAAAAAACTAAAGTTTTTCATTAAAATATTTTGATTGCATAGTGATAACATCTCTGACTATGAAGTTAGGTGACACAGGATCGAATCCGTCAGGGAGCATCAGTTCCCTCAAGATTACAGGTACACCTTGCTGATGAGTGCCAAGTAGCACGAAACCCATGCCAAACGTTTCCTGTTGACTACCTCCAACCACCATCTTATCTCAACTTAATGTACACAGTGTCAAGTCACCTAGTCTACTGGCCACATTGCAACTTGGTCGGTAGTATTCAATCTGCACTAAGAAGGACCTGATATTGATCACCACCCAGTGATCAATCAATTGTCATAGTGAAAATGTTTATAATCAAAAGGCATATTTTTAGTGATCATGACTATACTCATTTGTTGTTAGGAGAAAGTTATGATGGAATTTATCAGTACCGGATAATAGGTGTTGCTCGATATCGAAATATCTGTTATTGATATATCTGATTATCTGATATGGTGTTTAGAGAACTTTAAGAAATCTATAAGCTAGAATCGATAGAATGAATTTTTCTGATATTATGTGATGTAATTTATTAATATTTTAGGAGTGACACAAATTTTTGAACATTTTACTAACAGTTATCTGATGGTGCCCTGCTTGAACATCTGGGCTAGCTGTTCCTGCCATCTAGTTATCTAACTTTGTTTGTTTAAGTACACCATTATGGTTATTAATCATATTACCTATTTAGGTGCGTTTCTGAAAAAGTGTACAACCTTACGTTGTACAAGTTACAAAAGGCACAATCACAGATATCGTGGTTGCTGGCAATATGCGGCGAAAAGAATGTACATTGTTTAGATGTCAACTGACTGGATTGCTAACTTCTAACTGGTGATCACTCAATATTTATCATCAGGTTCGATCAAGAAGTAAGAAACGGGGAATTTTTGAAATACTTTGTGCTGAGAATTCTATATTGTACCAAAAATATAACATTGAATAAAGCTGATAATAATAATATACATAATTTACTATAGATGTCGTAGCTACTTATTAGTAGCTCGGTGTTCATTGTGAAATATTTTATTTATAAATGTATAGTTATAATCATGAAATATGTGAAAGTAGTCCATGTACTGAGAACGTTCACGTAATAGGATAGATTATAAGGACAAACATTAATCGATCATATCATGAAAATTTATCACAAATAGTTGAGAAGTGTTGATACTACTTTATTGTATTCAGTAACTATGTCCCTAAAATATTCACCAGTTAAACCTAAAAGATCGAAGATTGTTCATCTTGCAGATGACTTTACGCTTCATTGATATCAGATTTGTAACTGTTTAACTCGATCATTAAGTGAAATAAATTAATATGATTGCTGATATAACAATAAATTTTGGTATATAGCAATACATTACCGGTCGGTGGGTTTTGAAGCTCTTTTCTTATGGTCCAATGACAGCATTTCGAAGTATCCTTATTTATCAAGGTTGATTCTTGGTTTCGATATCAGAAATAACAATTCCTAGAGTTTGGTTTTTCGAAATAAACTATGATTATTTAGTCCGTAAATTGAAATTTAACAATGATATTGTTTTGTTTGCATAATTGTATTTCCGCTAAACTAAAGTAGCACTTTCATGATTCATTCAATTCACAGAAAATATGTAATAGTATTGTTTTATTCATAACATAAATCATTTATATTTTTGTGGAGATTATTAAGTTTTTGATTGAGATCATGAACCGATTGATGTTGGGTCACCGTTGGAGATCTGGAAGCACTGGATGGCCGTTTCATCCCATTGTGGGACCCCTCAGCAGTGCACATCCACGATCCCGCTCGCAGGACTCGGATCCAGGGTCTTCCGTCTCGCGTGCGAATGCTTAACCTACAGGACCACTGAGCCGGCATCCAATGGTGTTGGTGTCTAACATTTCAATCAAAAACTTACTTATTCATGAAATGCAATGCAATACTTATAGAAATAATGGTTACTTAGGACGAATTTATTGTATCCTGTAAATACTGTTCGTCTTGCTCTATTTAAACACCAATCAATTTTATCTTAGTTATTTATCAAATCAAACAGACATTTTCATTAACATTAACGAGTGTGAAAATAAGCTTGAGTGATAGTACCTCTCTGTATTAATACATTTATGGAATATTGAATGTTCCTAAGGATTTTGTTACAAGAACATAGCGGGAGAAAATACAATTTCAAGTGTGAACACTGACAAGCACCACTTTGACAATTACTGTTTGTACAATTGATAAATCACAGTGAAAATTATGTGTAAAAGTACTTTCTCTACTTTAAGTTACATACTTTCTTACTTACCTACGCCTGTTACTCTTCGTGGAGGAGTATAGGCCGCCCACCAGCACTCGCCATCCAACGCTGTCCTGGACAATCCTCGCTAAAAAAAACGTTAACCGGAAAAAATAATCCAAACCATTTAAACTCTGCCCTGGGCGTTAGAAGGTCTTCATTCAGAAGAACTATGACGCATCATGATGAAAGCCGATTTCTCTCAAGTTACATGGTGTCCATCTATATATCTATCAATATATATTGATTCGTCCTTGTTTAACACATACCTGTTTTTCACCATATTGTATGTGTTAGAGATAATTGTCTGGAGCAAAACCCACTATTTTACTTGGCTTCAACATTTCACAACTCCATGAAACAAGTAGCTTGAATTGAAAGTGATTTTTATCAAAGAAAGTAACATGTTAATTGGGGACGTTTATATCCAGTTTAATAAGTCAGTAAAAATTATTACAGACAGCTAAGTTAATATTGGTAGATTTTATTTGTGTAAATAAGAATCTATACACACACACTATATTCATACATTAAAGTAAATATACAAAAACCATTAGAAGAAGCACTTTATAACAGTTAAGGTATAATTGCAATTTTTTAATTATCTAAAGGTTATACAAATAACTAAGGAATCAGTGATGTCAAGAATCCTGAAATTTCGATACGAATGTTCTTGTTCAGTCATGTAAACGTTCCATCTTTAGCAGCATGGTCTTTATATTTGTGTCTCTGGTTTTAGCTAGCGTTTTATCTAGTGTTGACAGTTCGTGATTTTAGTTCAAGGTAAGTAAAGATGTTTAGTGAAGATACGAACGACATTTGTTCTTATTTTAGATAGTCGTAATTAACGATGTTGCTAACTAACCTTCATTGTACCAGTGACTGACACTTGTTACAATGTTTGAATGAAAATGATTATTATGTCATCACTCTTTCATTTGTTGTGATTTATTAATTAGAAACAGTTATAATTACATAGCATTTCGTTCTCAATTTGAACGCAGATACTCCGGTCGTGATAAATACTGTTAATGAAATACAGTATTTAACGGGAAAATTAAAATGTTTCACCGCGTTATTAAATTAATGACATAATCACATAAAATTTAACTGTTAACATTTTTGGTGGGATTACGTTCTCTGAGCTAGACGGAATAATTGCACAGCTTTTGTTTTCGTCACCTAGAAGAAGGCAACCAACAACAAACAGGATGTTGAAATTAAGAATCTGGAAGTTCTAAAAAAAATTAACAGCGAAGTTCTTATACTACACATATCAATTCTTTATCAAGAGTTATATATAAATACATAACTGATGTCATTTCATACAGAAAAGGTTAGTCAACCATATGTTCTGAACCCAACAAAAAAAAGCTGATCAACATGAATGCAAAAACAAATGAAGATGATAAAGCTCACAAAGACAACTGGTCACAATAAGTTTTTCAAACGAGCACAACGACTGACTTGACATTTGCGCAATAACTGAAAGACTTACATCTATTTGAAGTAGGCGCCAATAATGTTATCCATAGCACCAATTAATGCTCCTTAATTAATACATCTATCTCAGATGGTTCAACAATAATTAAAATATTTACCTAGGCTGAAAATTTCCATCATTTCAGGGAATATTATCTCATTTATTTTATATAACCCATATAAGCATATAAAGCTAAAAGCATAAAAATAAATAATTAGTTAACCGACTCATTTTATTTACATTACTCAATAATGTGGAAATTTCCTGTTTTCTGTATTGTGTGACTTATTTCGGTTTTGGTTATATGATGGGATGAGTGAACATGCATTATTAGAAGATAATTTATCCATAAATCATTCCTTTCTAATTTACACTTCGGTCGAATTGGTATACAGAGAAACAATGAGGAAGAAATTAATAAGATCATAATAGAACTGATCTTATTGTTTCCAGTTTATTCATACATTTCTTAGTATTCATGTATAACCAACAGTAATTTTAAAGTATTATTCTACTTGGAATGATTTCCGCATGTTCCATTTAAATTGGGACTTAAGTTACGAGGATCCTAGAAAGATTGACAACGGAAATTTTAGTGAAATTCATTTTGAAAATTTATACCTGTTTAAATCAGAAAGAAGTGTTGAGTGAATCACTAAAAGACTCGTAAGTGAAACATATCTATCTATAAATCTTGTTAAAAATGAACAGATACATGGAAGCTGAGTTTTCACTTTCGGCCAGTATAATTGATTACTAAGTAGTAAATGTTATTTTTCTTATTTCCTTAGCGTTGACTATATTCTATCGATCAGGTTGGAACTTTTAAACTAGTTTAGTTGATTTGAGTTCCTGTTTTGATATAAGGTGATTGAGAATAATTGAATGCACTTCCTAGATTTTTTTCAAGATTTCAGATATAGATAGTTGATGTGTGTCAACCAGAAGAAAACCAGATTTTCTTATCGATTTTGATTTTAGCCCATGAACGTTTATATGTGTTAAAGATGATATATTCAAAACATGTTCTGGGGAATATTATATATTTTGTGTAGGATCAGTGACTTAAAGTGCTCTTTTTTAATCTGAATAATTTTTTTGAAAAAAGAAACTCTTATTTAAATCATACTATCAATCTAATTA